GTCTCAGAAAAGACCCTGTGCCCAGATATATTTGGTCCTTGTGGAGCTCCTATCCTTTCCCCATCATATTAACTCCCCTTCTTTCATATGATTCCCTGTACTCTGCCAAAGATTTGGTTATGAGTGTTTGTATCTGCTTTGAAAACACTGCTAGTTAGAGTCTTTCAGATACGTTCAGTAGACTCCTGTCATACGTTCAATGCACATCCCATCTGTCTTTCTAAATGATCATCTTACCCCATGTCTGCTCTCTTGATTATCTTTTTTAGGTGTATAGATTTCATTATGTTTATCATATCTTATAGGTCTATATAAGTGAGTATATACCGTGTTTGCCTTTCTCCTTCTGGGATATTTCACTCAGAATGATCTTTTCTAGATCCCACCATTTGCCTGCAAATTTCATGATTTCCTCCTTTTTGATTGCTGAGTAGTATTCCATTGTGTAAAAATACCACAATTTATGTATCAGTTCCTCCGTTGATGGATATCTGGGTTGTTTCCAGGTTCTGGCTATTACAAATAAAGCTGCTATAAACATGGTTGAGCAAGTATCCTTTTTGTGTACTTGAGCAAAGTTTGGGTATATACCTAGCAGTGGTATAGCTGGGTCTTGAGGAAGCACTATTCCTAATTGTCTGAGAAAGCGCCAGATAGATTTCCAGAGTGGTTGTACCAGTTTACATTCCACCAGCAGTGGAGAAGGGTTCCCCTTTCTCCACAACCTCTCCAGCATGTGTTGTCGCTTGAGTTTTTCATCTTGGCCATTCTGACGGGTGTGAGGTGAAATCTCAGGGTCGTTTTTATTTACATTTCCCTGATGGCTAATGAGGTTGAGCATTTCTTTAAGTGTTTCTCTGCCAATCGATATTCCTCTGTTGAGAATTTTCTGTTTAGCTCTCTTCCCCATTTTTTGATTGGATTACTTGGTTTGCTGCTTTTCAGCTTCTTTAGTTCTTTGTATATACTGAATGTGCTATTTTTTAATGAACTGACAGTTTTTCTGGTACCTAATGATTAATCTTAACTCCTTAAGAAAGAGGTAAAAACACCGTCTGGAAACCAGGACCTTTGTCTAAAACCAAATTAGGTTGACTTTGTTTTGTTTGTTTGTTTTTTTTTTCCATTGAACTGGCTGTTTATGTTGCCTGACAACAGAAGGAAGCAAAGGCAATTCTCTGCGCCTCACAGAGGAAACAGCGTGAGTCCTGGTCCTTCATACTCCTCAGGCACAGCAATGGTGACTTCATATTTCTGTGCATACACACTCTGTCATGCTGGACTGGCGTTGCTTCCCATTTGCTGAGAAGAAATACACTTGATAATTTTCCCCCTTTTCCATATATCCCACCCAATTTGATTGTTTCTACGTGTTTAATATTATTGTGGATTTCTCCTCATGTAAGCTCTCTTTTATGTGTCTGCTGCAGCTTCGTTTCATAGAACTGTGAAAATTAGAAATTTTCTTATTTTGAAGGCCAGTCTTACCTAAGACCAACGACACTTGTCTAAAGTCCTGCTAGCCCCAAAGGGGACATAACTATAAATGACCACACAGCATTACAGATTCCCTGTTCTCACCTCAGTTCGACCCTCCGTTCTATAGCTAATCTGAGACTCCCTGGTGATCAGGGTCAGTTCACCAAAGCAAAGACAGATTGGCTCACAAGTTAAAATAAAAAGAAGCAGTCCCTGTTTTGTGTGGGTCTGAGAGGAAGCAAGCAGTGTGGGATGAGCAGTCTCTCCTCGACAGTCTCCACTGCTGACATTTGCACAGAATCGATGTACTTATAAGCATTAAGGTTAAGAGAAAGGTGACATTAAGAAGCTAACATTATACATGAACTGGGCTTCTTTTCAATACTTGAATTCTAGAAGAGTGAGGAAATTAAAAGTCACTGATTTCTATTCATATGTATATGTAATATTCACATATTCGTTTATATAGCTGCATGTAGGAACACAGTTCAAGAATGGAGTCGTGCGAGGGCAATTCTGAGTGCTTGCGAGAAAACTGCAAGAAAACAGAACAAGAGTCTCGTGGCCTCCGTTTTGTCAAAAGGGAGTTGTTCTTGGAATGTGTTTCTGTGTTCCTCCCAGGTGTGGTGGAGAGGAGCGAGCCTACTCTAGCTGTCGATATTCATGAGCCTGTGTGGAAAGCATGTTTTGCCACATGCAGCTTGTCCTTGTGATTAAACATTTTATTCAGGTGACTCTTCTTGACTCTCAGAGTATAAATTGTCTGACACTCTGGATAAAGTTGTATGTTGTGTGAGACTTTATGCCTCCCAATTTTGGGCCCTGCTCTTCTAGGTTCACTTAGCCCCCCCGCCCCCGCCAACTAGAACACTACACAACTGTATACATATTCTACTTTAAGAAAATAGAGTACTTTCTATTTTTCTGGTGGGACATAAATGTCTAGCTGAGTGTGATTTCCAAATAACTTGTATACTTCGTAATCAGGGTAATGGATTTGGAAGTAATGCATATGAGAGAAATGATGAGTCTGTGCGTGCATGTGCGGTGTGCGGTGTGTGAGTGTGTGTGTGTAACAGGACCAAGGAGTGAATGGGACTTTGGGGAACATGGCAACAGGTGGAACAGATTTTGAATCAGTCAAAGAAATCTTACGGGAAAACCATGGAAACGTGGCACCTTCTAATACCATGTGGAAACTATCATTTAATCCCAGAATTTACCAAGTGAGATGTTGGAAGACAGAGCAATACCTTCCCATCTCCCACAACAGGTCAGAATTGAATGAGGTCCACTCATATCCTCTAGTGCTCTCATGACACCATTCCTTAATCACTCCTTTTTTTTTCTTTTAATAGAATGATATTTGTTGTCATACCGTAGGATCAGTTCACTTAGCATTTCGTGCATATTGTGATTTGGTACCCTTTAACATAATACCAATATATGTTATTTATTTCAGAGATAATTTGTAGAATTAAACGAAGTAATACATTAAAAATGTGCTTTGAGTGGTTTAAAATATTTAGAAGGATGAAAATGATTGAAAAAGATTATTTATTTATTATTTTTATTATTTTTTTTTCAGTTTTTTTGAGACAGGTTTCTCTGTGTAGCCTTGGCTGTTCTGGACTCACTTTGTAGACCAGCCTGTCCTCAAACTCACAGCAATCCGCCTGCCTCTGCCTCCCTGCGTGCTAGGATTAAAGGCATGTGACACCCCGCATGGCTGGGAAGGACAATTTATAAAGCATAATTGATATTAGACCTTAATAAAAAAATAACTTAATAAATTAGTAAATGCTATAATGAAAGAAACATATAGTCATCAAATGATGAATTAAAAATTACCAATAAACATATAAAAATATCCAACATCTTTAGCCATCAGGGAAATGTAACAAAAAACTACATTGAGTTTCCTATCACCACAGTCAGAATGAGTGCCATTGAGCAAACAAACTACAGCTAAAGTTGGGCAGGATACAGGACAGTAGGCAATGCTTATACATTGTTGTTGATGATATCAATCAGTTAAGCCACTATGAAAGCAGTATGGGGGTTCTAGAAAACTAAGAGTAGAACTAGCACATAATCCAGGTAGGTATACAACGTACGAAGAGGTCTAGAGCCAACATATCACAGAGTCCATGTTTATAGGAGTACTAATGAAAATAGTCAAGTAAATAATTTCCCTGGGTACCTAACATAAGGCTAATACATGAATAAATATGGTATTCACAACTGAAAATTGTCACATTGGACACCCAAACACAACCTAAACAGACACCTAAACACAAATATTGTATTTTCTTTCATTAGTGAATTATAACGTTTTAGAAATAAACATGCATGTGTGTGTGTGGGCACACACACACACATATACACACACCATTAAAGCAGCTGAAGAGAAACTGTGGGAAGGAAGGTGATTAGTGTCAATGGGAAAGGGGTAGGGAAGGGGAGAGGAGAGGAATGGCTATGGAATGCCAAGAATGGTCAAAATCTATGACATACACTTAAAAAATACCTTCCCTTCACTTCAAACGTGTTTTCAATAATTTAAAGACAACACCAACGCAAAACTTTAAAATGTACGCTTTCTTGTGGGAGTAGGTGTGTCTCTGACTCTTTTGTCTGCTCTTGGACCATTCTCCTCTTTATGGGTTGCCGTGTTTAGCCTTGACACGAAAGTTTGTGCCTTGTTGTGTTGTAACTTGTTCTTCTGTGTTCGTGGATATCCCTGGGAAGCCTCCTCTTTTCTGAAGGGAAGTGGAGAAGGAGTGGATCTGGAGGTGGGGGGGGGGGGGGTGTGTGTCGGATGAACTGCAAGGAGTGGAGGGAGGGGAAACTCTGGTCAGGATGCATTATATTTAGTTATTTAAATTTTATTATCATAGGCATTGATTATGCCATATTTTTGATCCTTTGTGATATACAACGTGCTTAAATTTCATTCAGTCTTACTCGTCAATTCTTGTTATTATTTCCTGGGTTTTTGGAGTCCTTTTCACCAGAAGTCTTTACCTAGGCCTATACCTTAACACTGTCTTACAGTTACAGAATTTCTGGTCCCATATTGAGGCTTTTGATGAACTTTGATTCTGTTTTTGTGCAAGGTGAGAGAGATTTAGCTTCATTTTTTCCTATGCAAATAATATTTTCCAGCACCATTTTGTTGAAGACTTTTGTACCAATGTATGTTTTTGGATCTCTGTAAGATTTCGTCTGGCTGTCAATGTATGGGCTGAATCCTGTGTCCTCTATTTTTATTCCATTTATCTTTTTTTTTTTTTTGCATCTTTTCCTTATCATCCTCACGACCCTCTTTCAAGCTTCAGTAACCCAAAGTACTGAATATTTAAATAAAATTGAGGAAACTGGACAAGCAGTTACTAAACATGAAGTTATTCTTACATATTAGATCATGATTTACCATCTGACACTTTTGTCATTTATACCTAGGTGAGTTTACAGTGTAACACGTAGATTCTGCATAATTCAATGTCAGTGTCACTTACCCTCTGTGTCTGATGCTCCCATTCCTGGCTGCTTCACAGGGTCCTGTCCATTCTGTCCCATCTTTCCTCTGTTTAAAAGAAAAAAAAAAATGGCATCTTTAGTTATGAGCCTCTTAATACAAATGGGATTAAGCTTGAAGCAATAAAATGACATTATGTATTCAGAGTCAACTGTAGATAATTTGTATGGCAAATATACCAAGTAGTTAATTATGCTATACCACATTAATTTTAGAATGGGAACTTCATTAATATTCCTCGTCAGTTTATACATAATATCACAGAAATCAACACATTCTATTTATAAACTCATTTATAAAAAATGGAACTCATAATTTTTTTAGATTTCTCCCATTTTAAAAAATCTTTCAACACTCAGATAACTTTTAAAAATGCACACATTAAAAGGAGACCACATGATTCATGTATATTTGTACATACATACATATATATATATATATATATATATATATATATATATATATATATAATAGCTCAGCTTAGTCTGGTCAAACATACCCATATTTTTAAACATTTACCCTTGCTTTTAATTTTTAACTTAAGTAAGAGCTATATCTTTATAATAATGAAGTGTCATAGGTTCTTTAGTGAGAAAGTAAATAGTGAACTAAGTAACACATGGAAATAATACTGTGTCTTAAAAAGATATTTCTTCAATGAAAACAAATGGTCAGGAGATATATGAAAAAATTCAACATCACTAACCACCAGGTAACAAATAAGAACAGCAGTGAGATATTACATTACCCTAGAAGAAATGCTTTGACACATCAAACAAATTCTGGCAAGAGTGTAGAGCAGACAAAAGTCATATATACTGTTTCGGGAATTTCAGTCACGATAGCCATTTTGGGACTATGGAAAGTATGGACTTTCATAAAAAAATTAAAGGTAAATTCTATTAATGTGCCATGGTCAACGCAGAGACTCATAACTACATGTAGTACTGAGACTAAGGACTTCTTAACCCTAAATGTCTGTTTAGTCTGTTTCACACACCTTAAGGGAGGTGAAAAGACTATATGAGTCAGAGGATGGAAAGAAATTCTATAAAATGCTATCTTTTGGAGATGACATGGCTTTTTCTGTCATAAACACTATAAAAAATATAACAACACAACAAAAATCCTCAAGTTAATACTGAAAAAAGACTTTCTCACCTGATAAAGATTAAAAATCAAACTACTATGTTGACCTCACAAGGCTACAAGAGAATATACATACCAAAAAAAAAAAAACCCAGTATTTTTTAGATATCTGTACTTCAATGTTTGTTGAAACATTTGGTTACAATAAATAAATATCAGTGTCAAACCCACTGTTAGGTCAGTAAATAACTCTGATGAATGCATAAAAATGTGCTAGATGTACAGCAGAGGGCACTATTTACTTATAGAAAGAATGGAATCCTGTCACTTCCAATAATTAGAATGCAGTGAGTTAAGTGAAATAAGCCCTCAAGAAGGTAAATAACAAGGAAGACCCTAGGGAAGATGCTTAATCCTCATTCAGAAGGGCAAACAGGATAGACATTGGAAGTAGGAGAAGACAAGGAACAGGACAGGAGCCTTCCACAGAGGGCCTCTGAAAGACTCTACCCACCAGGATATTGAAGGAGATGCTGAGACTCATAGCCAAGCTTTGGGCAGAATCCGTATGGAAGAAGAAGGAGATAGAAAGAACTGAAGGGTACAGGAACTCCACAAGGAAAAAAAAAAAAAAAAAAACAGAGCCAAAATATCTGGGCCGGGGTCGGGGTGGGGCTGCCAATACTGATACTACAACTAAGGACTCTGCATCGAGAGGACATAGACCCGCGGTTCAAAGGAAGCCCATTGGCTACTCAGTTTCCAAGTGGGTTTCCTAGTAAGGGGTACAGGGGCTTTCTCTGACATGAACTCAGTGGTGGACTCTTAGATCACCTCCCTCTGGTGGGTGCAGCTTGCTAGGCCACAGAGGAAGATGATGCAGCCAGCCTTAATGAAACCTGATAAGCTAGGGTCAGATAGAAGGGGATAAGGACCTCCCCTATCAGGGAACTAGGGAAAGGGCATAGGGGGAGAAGAGGGAAGGTGGGTGGGACTGGGAGGAGACTAGGGGATAGGGCCACAGTGGGGATACAAAGTGAATAAATTGTAATGAATAAGTATATAAACAAAATAAAATTAAAAATAAATAAGCCAAGCACCAAAAGGTAAATGTAGTAATATTTAGAATCTAGAAATACCCATTTCACGTTTATGAGGCTGGGAGAGTAAGTGGGAGGGACATAGCGAAGGCTGGTTAATAGGATTTTAGTTACAGATAACTAACTTCTAGTATGATACTATACAGCAAACATGACACAGTGTATCAACAGATGCACTCTTGTGACACTTGAAAAAATAAAAAAATAAAAAACCCTACACCTTAATATATTTTAATAACATAGACTTTTCATCCTATTTCATGAACCTTTTAGGTTCTTTCTGTATTTTCATGTGTGTTAAATGAACTGCTATTACATCACACTTTTTGTTCTTTGCTTTTGGTTTTGTTTCTCTTGCTATGTGGAATCTAAGTGAAAGGACTGATTCTTCTTTTAAAAGAGGGCAGTGGGACAGCCTTATGAAAGTTGAGCTTAGTGCCTGAGTAAATAAATATTTAATAATAAGTATATAGTATTAACAAATAGATTAGAAATTTTGACTTTTGAATCTGTCTCTGACTTTTAGTTTCTGACTCAAAGATTTGATCAAGCCAGCTAGATAAAGATTTGACAGTACTTTAAAAACTGTGGTATTAGAATGCTGGCTGGGTAACAGCCAAAAGGCTGTAGGTTACTTCTTGTTGCCTCTATCAGAGGAAAAGTTTCACCACATACAGTAGGTTTTTGAGTTGCTTTTAAAAATTCTTTCATCACATGACAAAATAAAACTCAAACCTGATAAAAGGAAGCATGAATCAAAGAATGCCTCAATACTTAGTCTTCTAGATTGTAATTCTGATATAGAAATGTTTTCTGACAGTTCTTATTTCCACAAAATGTTGTGATTTGCTGAATCCACTAAATTTGTAACTATAATAGTCTCATTTCTTTTCAAAAATTGCTTTTAAAAATTCCTCTCCTCACTCTATTCCAGAAAAGAAGCTGAGATGTTTCTGTATGTAAAATTTCAAAACAAAACCAAAAACAAAACAGAACAACAAACAAAGAAACATGGCCGGGCTAGCAGCACTCGAGAGGCAGAGGCAGGAAGATCTCTATGAGTTCAGGGTCAGCTTAGTCTTCAAAGGAAGCTTCAGGTCAGCCAAGGCTACACAGAGAAACCCTTGAAAAACAACCAACTAAACGAAAAATAATAAAACAAAAGCCAAAATAGAAACAGATGAAAATTTAGAAATTATTTATCTTCAAAGCCATTTTGTTGTTCCACTGTAACAATTTTAGGTCAAAATTCTATTTAGTGATTATGTGCAGGAGATTTCATGCATGCAGATTATATGATTCTTAATATTTGTATGTATGCATGCGTGTATATATTCATGCATGCATATTGTACATGAACTATATGTGTATGTAGACTGTCTTCATATGAAGTCATAGCCCTGTTTAAAAAACATATAAAGGGGACTGGAGAGACGGCTCAGATGTTAAGAGCACTGCCTGTTCTTCCCAGTTCTTTTCCCAGCATCCACATGGTGGCTCATAACCATCTATAATGAGGTCTGGTACACTCTGGCCTGCAGGCATGAATACAGGCACAATACTCTATATATATTTTTAAAAAATCTAAAAAAAAGCAAAAAGCATATAGATCTTCATTTTTATTTATTTAATTTTGTTGTACCAAAGACTGAGCCCAGGGTTGCGCATATATGAGGCAATTGTCTACCTAGGGCTATATCACCTGTGCAGCCATGCACAGTGCTTGCGTTTGTCTAATTGTTTTATTAAGATAAAATTAGCTGGGGTTAAATAAACTAGTGCAGCTCCTTCCGCTGCCGTTAGAGAAAAGAAAAGTGTAGGGCTTAGCTGCAGTATATGTGCTTGGAGAATGAATCAAAATGCATCTTGTTACCAAGTAAAACACAGGAAGGAATGAGAATCACTGTAGTGTTTCCCAGATGGCAGAGTACTTAAATAATGACTTTCTTCGTATTACATCTATTATAAAAAATGTTATAACTTTATTAGTTTTAATAATTAAAATTAGTCCGAGCCATCAGTTTTATTTTTTAATGATGATACCTAAATTTTCTGCTTCCAGCTTAGCTTTAAAACCTTCATCAAAATGTGTGGGCCATAAATCCATCTTGGAGAATGTGTGACATCTTGGTGCCCACTGAGACAGTGAAGCTAAATGATGTGCAGAGGAAATGTACCTGTGGGTTGGGTGAAACAGACAATCTTCCTGCATTCTCAGCAAACTGTCTTCAACTCAGAACACTTAGATAGCTTAGGCTGAATCTTAAATGCCCAGGTCAGTCACTGAATAGCTGGTGAACACTTGCTCTAGATCAAATGACAATTGTGTGAGACACAACGGGGCACTAAGAGAAGAAACAAATACTATTTCTTACGTTCATCGTGTAGTGATTTAAAAGGTGACTTTTCGGGTCCATTGGGTGAAATGATTGTCTCCCACACAATTTTGAGAAGCATTTGTTTAACCAGAAAAACATGAAATAATAATAATAAAAAAAAACCAAATTGGGAACATGATAATCTTTCACCTCAGGCATTCAAACATTGACGAGGTAAGATGCTTTTTCCTGTGTAAGTTTAACATTGATATTAAATTATATAGTCTGAAGGTTACAGGCTGATGAGAAGATTCTTAGATTATTTTGTAGCAGTCTTTATAAATTCCTATCATAGTCATGGCCTAGCAAGAAATGTAATGAATTTCCTTAAATTCCTGTTATTTACTCCAGCAAAATTTTAAGAGGTGAAATATTATTAAGAGCAGATTCTTTCTAGGAATGATTTCCAATAAACAGAACTGATTAAATGTAACCACTTCTACTGAATCTGAATTTCAAAGATAAACTCACATAAGAAAAATCTCTCAGATGAACTAGTAATAGAATAAGAATTCCTTTAAGTTGGAAAAGTATAACTTGAAAGCTATTAAAATAACTTCATTATTCACTGTAAGAATCTGTTTTCCCTGTTATTTTTCTTTCTTAAGATGAAACAGTATCTCACTATTAGAATTACTGTGGGGATCAAAGAGAATATTTTCACAATATTTTGTATGAAAATAATAAATTCCACTTTGAGAGCAGTCTTCAAATTCCATTTCCAGGGAAGACCACACCACTGGATAAAATGAACAGACTTCTGCCTGTCCCTTTAGAGGTTCTCAGTCACAGCAATTCCACTGTGCCCTGCAGCACAAAAGCAGCAAGGGACAACAGGGAAATTCACAGGGATAGCTGTGTCCAACACAACTCAGTCATAGAAGGTCATTTTTATATTCTTTTCATGTGCCATGAAATATCTTCCTTTTAACTTTAGAAACCGCAAAGCCATGGTTCAAAGTCCTCATACTTTAGCCTATATATGTGGTGGCCTGGGCACAGATCTAAATGTAGCAATGTTTTCAAACCCACAGATTAGTTCATGGAAAGAAAAATGAAAGGTCTAGAAGTTTAGTCTGAAACTGGAACAGACATAGTTTACCTAAATCCATTCTATCACAATCTGCTTTATTTTGCATATGAGTTGTGAAATTTCTTTCAGCAGGTTTAATATACCATGAATGAATTAGGGTGTGTGGCGGGGGCAGGGCTTAAGAATCTTCCATTCTAATTGTAAAGACCTTTAGATCTGAAAAGTCTAAATTATTATCCAGATTTGTCAATGGTGACATGGATTCTTCAAATGTGAAATTTCTCCGGATTAAAAAAAAAAAAATCAAAATGTGAGAGTGTGAAATACCAGTGTTGTGTCTGGTTAGTGTGTGATGAAGGCTCCATGTGCTTCTCTGAACTCTGGGCTGGCCTATCTCAGTTAGCATGCTAACAGCTTTTATTTTAAATGCAGGCGGTGCGGACGAAGTCATCTTAATTGAAATGAACCAGTCGTCCCTGAACAACTGATTCTTCCGTGGGCATCAGCAGTCCAGCCATCCAGCGACAGTGATTCAGAACTGGATAATTACCTTGTTTTCCTCCTGTGGAACGTTAAGAATGAATTACGCTGCTGTTAAAACTGTAGGTTTGTTTATAGAAAAGAACCACTTACATCCTCGGGATAGGAAGTAGATTAGGCTCCCCTGCCACGCAGCTGCTTCCTTCACCGTCCATGCTATACCCACTGCCAACGCTGCTGCCCGAGGAGCCAGTGGACACGGCGCTCTCTGCAGGCCGGTGGTTTGCGGGCTTTGCTGCATGACGTGGGGAGAGCCAACACCACAGTCAACAAGGGAAGCTCACTTTTCTTTTTCTCCGAATGTAAACTCACATATGTGCATAATAGTCATAGAAAGAACCGGTGGAAACAACAACAAAATACTCTTTCTTCCTCAACCCGCGTTTCCTTTTCATTTCTTTAGCCAGTAATGCACACTGTCATTACAAAATCCCTTTAGGATTTTTTTTTCAGTTTTTTTTTTTTTTTATTAAACATTTAAAAATAAACTGGGAAAAACACTCCCATTTTTAGCCTTAGATTTAATCGTCAGTAACCAGATAATCTCTTTAGAGGCGACATGCATGGCAGAATACTTTACACACGGCTCTACCAACTCTCATGGTCTTTTATCATTATTATTATTATTATTTAATCTAAAGGTGTTTCTTTCCCTTAGGTATCTTGAAACTGATATGGGGACTTGTTTCGGGGTTTTCGTGAGTTTCACTTTTGGATAGATGATTCTACGCACCCCTAGGAACACACACATATTCGTGTTGTATATTATGCAGCAGGCACGTAGCACCCTCTCCCACCTGACAGAGCTTTATGAAGGTCATTTGCGCGTGGGAGGTGTTGCCATGCGCAAAGAAGGAAGAGAAGAAAGACAGTGCCTGCTCACACTTTGGGAGGAAGAAGTTACTTGGCAACTTTTGAAGCTCCTGATGTGCATCGCTTGGCAGACAGGGTACCCTTGGGCTTTCCTGATCTATACCCACTCTGTAGACCCCCTAAGCTTTTGTGTGTGGAAACAAGGTCAGTAATGATGACCTCTTTAACACAGAGATGAAGAGTGGTATAAAACAGGAGCCTAGCAGTCTGTTACCTTTCCTTTTGTGGCATTACTTCCAAGCTCCCACTTTTTCTTTCTTGGGATTGACAGTCTGTGGCTGCTCAGTGAAGTTTTTGAGCTTACCCGGTCTTTGACAATGAATTTATCTGGGTCTAAGTAGATGAGTTACAAGCTACCTGGACTATTTAGCATCTTTTTTCCTCTGTAAGCATATTCCTGTTCCATCAGTAGTCTCTTAGTTGAATGTGTTCATGCTACTGAGTGAAGGGTTAAATATTATTTTCTATAGTGACACCTGTATGTTTTTTAAGGAAATATGTTAACTCATGAGTCTTAGTCTGGAAAACTTCCAGTCTAGTACAATGAAAACTCAAAGAAATTGTACGGAAAACGGAGGATAGTCAGGGTAGCTACTATCAGGTCTTGTAAAGTGCTTAGCCTTTCCTCGACACCTTCCTGTCTCCATCACAGCAATGAGATGTCCTTACAAACCACCAAGTGACTGTATATTTATTCCAATGATGGTAGAATTCCTTCCCCAGAACACAAGACAAGGAAGAAATGCTTATACAAGTCAATGATTTATAAGATGAAAACTGCCAAGTAAAAGACGCTATGAGAGGCAGCCACCAATAAAGTACTACTTACCCACGTAGAACTAGTGTATAAAATAATAGATCTGATATTTGCTAAATATTCTTATTCAGTTTATGTAAAAAAAACACCAGATAGCATATTTAATGTTAAAGAGGACACTTTAAGTAGATAATTTAAAATATGTAGGTAAAATGACTAGCATATTAAATTATGAAAATGTATACAGTAATTAAACTGAATAAGCAACCAATAATAACTCAGACTATTCCATTAATTTAGACAAATGTTGTTATGCTTTCAATTGACATTAAACAATGTAACATCACCCTAGATTTTTAGCAGTGGATAGTATAACATGGAAAGAAAAACATTAATTTCATTAAAAAACATAAAAAACAAAAACCCCATTGTCCTATTTTCAAAGACAATAATTAATAAACAGTAATTTAAAACAACTTAATCTTAGTGTGTTAAACCATCTTTCTCCAAGAGCAAGCACACTACACGTCATAATCGCTACCTTATAGAACGTATGTCTACATGTCAACTTCAGGTATCACCTGGTTCATGGATTTCCTTTTCTCTCCCCGTCAGAACAACTAAGTCCGGAGGATTCATTGCACATAATCACAATATCGCTAATGGAGATGATCACTGCCTAGTTTGAATATTTGTTATATTAAAACTATATCATCAGTAATCCTTAGACTTTTGGCTTTGAACAAGTAATATTTGATGAGTAAATGAGTGAATAAATGAATGAAGAAATAGTAATGTTAGTGTTCTTAAACCAAACACTGACAATGCCATAATGAATTAGTATTTGACATTTTGTTCATAGTATATTTTAAAGAAATTATACACATTTCTCATAAAGTGGCATTTGATATAGAAAGGTTTTACTTTATTTTTGCCAAAGAAACCTTTGAAATCAATTTTTTTAGTTTATTAAAATAAGTAACAACATTTTAATCTGGTATACCATGTGTAAAATTATAATCAGCTGCCTAGATTTTTAATCTCAATGTCCTTAAAAACTGGCTTGAGTGAAGAGGATATTTAGTGCTAGTATACTGAAAGAAAGGCGTAGATTATTATAACAAGAGCTAATAGCAGATCATGAATAGCAAATGAATATTTACATTGGGATGATGAAAAAAATAATATGTGTGACATTATTTGTGAGCAATCCCCATTATAAAAGATTGAATTTGTTTATTTCCTATCTTGGTAAATAAAGAAAGAACTTAGATTTGATTTAAGCCTAGTATCTTTTTGTTTTTCTGCTTTTCCTGTGAAATAGCATAAAACCCTTAAAAGCTCGGTCTTCCACTATTGAAGTAATAGCTTAAACTAGTCTACCTCTACTCTTCTTCCCAATCGCTTTAAGCAGAGTTTCGGAAATCATACAATACTGTCCGTGAAGGCATGCACCTGTGTAATGCCTAGCAAAATGGTCTTTTCACAAGTGAATTGAAAATTTAAAATATTCAAACCCACTTTTTGGATTTTTTTTTTTAAATATCTACTTTCATTTTGAAATGCTAATTGTGCTAAAAAAAAAAAAAAGTCATCCACTGCAGGAAACGTGGCTGACTGGCATACCCCAGCAATGGGAACGCTTGCTGATGTCCAGAGGACGTCAATTGAGAAAGTCCATTCCCTTTTCATACTCGGCGTTTGAGGAGGCATATCAGGGAAACATTTTACCCTCTTTGGGGCCGCTCGAACTGTTTTAAATCATTCTTTCTCGTCTTCATTATCTTTACCTGTTTTATAGTTAGATGTCGTTAAGTTTTATTACTCCTTGGTGGCTAATCCTAATTAAATACGGTACTGTCTCTGACTGGTTTTCTCGATTGGGTTGCCTAGCACTCTCAAGCAGACTTGCCTATGCACAGCTATAACCCTAGCTGCCACGGGATGGCAGCACGATGCTCAGAGACCTCAGCGAATTAGAACTGAATGCAGCTGTGGAATCCTGGCTATTAGAAGCTGGCTAAGAACGCTAAAGGTCACCTACTCTAGAACCATCATTTGCCTTTGGGATAATTAGTCCCTGCAAATGACTTATTATATCTCACACTTAATGAGAGAATTTAAAGCTGCCAATTCCCTTTTATATTAAATTTAGTTGTCTCAAACAAGAAAGCAAACAAAAACGTTCAGAGTATTGTTTTCTTTAGAGCTCAAGTGCTCAAAATAGGCTTAGCCTTGCTGTCCAGGACTTTGTATCTCTGGTCTGATAGCTGGTGCAGCAAAGACAGATTTGCAAATGTTTTGCCATAGTTTATGTTGGTAGCTCAGAGCAAGTTCCTGGATTACTTGCTTTATCCAATACTACATGTTATCTTTATAGAAATGGTCTAATATTTTGAGAATGTTTGAAATTACAAGAAACGAGTCAATTAATGTTTATTACAGTAGTATAACGACTGAGTAGAACTATTCATCTATTTCTGAAACCATGTGTTCTAAGAAAAAAAAATTAATGCTAGTTTTAACTTTAGGGACCTTTTCTTTCTTTCCTCCCTCCCCTACCTGTCTTCCTGCCTTCCTCTCTTCCTTCCTCCTTTCCTCCCTCCCTTCCTTCATTCTTTCTTCCTTCCCTTCTTTTTTTCCTCCTTCCCTTCCTCCCTTTCTTCCTTTTTTCCTTCCCTTCCTTGCTTCCTCAGTGTTACTGCTGCTGTTAATTTTGTACTTACTTCTGAAGGGATTTTCAGTTTGACCGATGCTAAAAGGATCATATTTAAATTAGATATCATTAAGGAGTTTCATTTCATGGATAACTTAATTTTTTCAATATTCATTTGATTTGTGTTTAAGAAGTATTATCTCTCATGTTTTGCTGACAATATCTTTGTATTACATTGTCAGGCATGTATTTGTAACAATTGATAACAGGGAGAAAAAATATTCATAAAAAAGAGACTACTTGAAAAATACTTCTAGAAATAACCATAATAATTATTTTGATAACCAAGATGTTATTGTCAAGTGAAATCCAAGTGGTTGCTTTATAAAATCAATTTTTATCATTTATTTATTTGTTTCTGAGACAGGTTCTTATGTAGCTCAAGCTGAGCTAAGACGGTCCCGAGGCTAACAACCTTGAACTTTTGATCCCCTTGCCCCCTAAAGCCAAATGGTGTGATTACAGTTTTGGTCACAAAACTGTTTTGGTTTTTATGTTTTTCTACACATTGAAACCAGACCTTCATACCCACTAGGGAAACATTTTAGCACACCACCAGTCTGCAATATATACAGCTCAAATCAATGGAAATAAAGGAGAACACTCCCAGTAGAAGTCATAAATTAATAATAGCAAATAAGCATATGTGCATAATACTACAACTAACACTGAATATTATTTTTCATATTGTTTACATTTATCCAGTGGTTGTAAAGAGTAAGCTTAGAAAGTGTTTGATAAATGCATAGGTACAAATACCTCTTTTTAAAATTTCCAGAAAGATAACTGTCAATCACTGCTTTTCTATAGTTGGTTCTAATGGATTGCAAAGAGCATGATAAAGACTCAGAGCTGGGCCAGAAAATACAATTACATACTACTATACTTT